CTTTTGAACCTTGACCGACGCTTCTATTTGTTACGCGTAAATCGCGGAGAACGCTATCTTGTGTTTAGAAGATCTTTGATACTACCACGAGGTAGGGGGCGCTCTATTGGCAATCGAATAGCGTTCGGAACTCGAACTAAATTGCGTTCGAATTTTAAACACGCGTTATAGAGACGCAGCACGCGTTCGCCACGAGCGCCTTTTACTGTCATTTGAAGGACGCCTTCTAGAACATGGTAGTATTCTTCGTGATCAACGACATAACGAGAGTTACTCATTTTAAAAGTGTTTTTAGTGCAATATAATAGTAGGCCTATACAGAATATTGTTATGAAAGAAAATTTTCATGAAAAATCCAGATACACTACAATAATACACATATCTTCATTTTGAAGAACATATAGATAAAATTTAAAAAACGAAAACTCCTGTATAAGGCAGTAGACACATGCTCCCGCTGGGAGCCTAATTTTATTAAAGAGATACTCATTACATAATGTGTTTCCATTTGTCTAGGTATTCAAAAGATTTGTTTAAGGTTCGACTCGGGGAGCATGATCAACGTACTACCGAAGGAACTGAACAGACGTTTGATATCGAATGTCTCTTCATTCATCCAAAGTACGATTCAGACACCACGAATAACGACATCGCTGTCCTGAAATTGAAACGTAAATCTAACGGTGGTGCACAATTCGGACAGTATGTAATGCCAGCTTGCTTGCCTTGGCCAACAAATGCAACAGAGCAGTTTGATGCTGGACATGTCTGCTGGACATCAGGATGGGGAAATACAGGTATAGTGACTTCATAACTATTAGTGATTCGAAAGACTGTGGTATTCCCGCTGTTAACGTTAGGATTAGGGAGAAAACAGAGAGGGTGGGGGTGCTAGTGTTTTTAAATGTGCTTTTAATCATGGATACCCTGCTTAAATATTAGTTATATCTAAGGACTAAACTTTTTTACGACGCATTCCCACAACACGTGTGGGATGTGTGCCACTGTTTTAAATGATTCCATGTCAATACTAGTATTAATATGTACTGATATGGCGTAATTTGTGTACTCTTTCGGATTTCATTGAAATGAAGTAGAAGACTTCCAATATACTCTCTTATAGTATTAATACTACAATTAGTAATAGTAATACTGTCATCATGGCAACAATCCTAAATTTAATCAGCTTTTAAAAGTATATTGCCCCTTATATCGTAAATGTTAACGCTTAATTTCTTGTTATTATTTTCAAGGGAAAAACTATCCAAAGATCCTTCAAGAAGCCCGTATACCATTACTGTCACGATCTGTATGTAAGAAACAGAATGTTTACGGCAATAAGTTGACGCCTAAGATGTTTTGCGCAGGTCACCTGAAGGGTGGAATCGACTCGTGTGATGGTGACAGTGGCGGACCATTGGTTTGCGAACGTGCCGGGGTTTGGACGCTCTATGGGGTGACGTCATGGGGTTATGGATGTGCTAAGGCAAATGCTCCTGGTGTTTATGTAAAGGTTTCAGAGTATATAAACTGGATTGATCAAAAGAAAAATTCAAGAGTGTGTGAATAAATTTTATTGAATAGAAATTAATTTAACTTTGCTCTCCTTTTTACATCCTAGTCTTTATCCTAAGGAAAAATTTCCTAAAATTTAAGGTAGATAAAGAAGGTAGACTAATCTTTGCTGAGCTATAAACATGAAATACAATATTTGAATTTCTTTGGTGACGGTGTATTTTAATATATTTAATTATTATTAGTTTTCCAGAATGAGAAATAATTCTTTCGCTAATAAACATACATACATAATAATATTGTTCATACATTGCAGAACCTTAAATTGTCAGGTATTAATTAAAAGCATTAATTAATTGTCTGCCTATCAGTGAAACTGAATTGTTATGATCTCTATCACATTTGAATGAGGTTCCATAGAACCAGAGGATTTTTTTCATATACAGGTTACTTTAAAGTATAACCCTCTTCGAAAAGGGAATTGACTAACAATTATCCTCACTTGTGGTCACAAATTAAAACACTTTAGCTAAGCAAATTCAAAGGTCAAACAATTCTAATGATTCCGAAACGTACCGGTATGCGTATTCATTTATATAAGAGTAAATGATGTTGTTGCAACTCATTGAGTCAGAATGAGAATTTTGGAATAGGTGCTGTGTGTATCATGAAAATATGTCTTCTTGCCAAATGTAAACACCCAAAATTACCGTAGGCCTGCTGTCATTCATTGTTAAACTTAGTAATTTGCATAAGAATATAGCAGTATCGTATACTTTAATACGGAGAAGCCTTAATACTTTCACTTATAACTTTGGCAATAGTAACCGTCTATTCGAATAAAAAAATAAAAAACATCATTTAGACTTACAATGTGGAGAATACAGATACATTTAAAAAAATCAATTTTCATCATTGGTCACAGATGCTGGTCTTGGGATAAAGCGTCATTGGGGTTTTTTTACGCCGAAATATTTTAGTGCTTTAATAATTGTTTGTCACCGTTACAATTTTGATAGAATAATTTGAAAAATGATATAAAATAATGACGGTCAAGTTAACAATAGTCTTGAATGATAATGTTCTGGTTCGGTTTAGAACCACCATACGTATATACAGTACATACGGTAACGTATCCAACTAAATAACTATAAAAAAAATGTTTCCTCAACGTTTGTGTTAACGTCACCTTCTGTCACAACCTAACCAGAGTCATTATGTTATAACATTTTGTGATTTCTCGGTGTATTGCTGACACTTACCGAAAGGCCCACTGATTAATCTCAGATAAGATAGTATAATACATACTCCAAGTATTGAAATGCACGCCATCGTGTCGGGATTCAATATTTCGACATTAATTATGTCATCATCAGGAATGACACTCACTCTTGCTGATGCTAAATATTAATAATACATTTAGACAGTATTTTAACAAGTGAAAGTAATAAACTAAGAACTCCGTGGTTCTAGCTTGTAGTTGAGGGCAGGGGCTTTCAATCGTGCTGTTAATCTGAAGATTACATCAGAATTATACCATGGTAGCTGTTGGAATGAAAATAATTTAAATGTATTTTTTTTCTGTCAATACTGAGGAATTAATGTCATTTTATAATTTTTTAGTTATTCTCAATACATAACAATTGGATAAGTTACAATTATGTTTTGTATTTTCTTAATATTATAATAAAACCATTTTAAATAATAGATTGATGATTGACGCATTATTTAAGTTGTGTGTTTGACTAACTTAGGCCCCTATATAAATAAAAAAAAAAACTACAACAGTCACTCTGTGAGCACCTCACCCTGTGCTCACTGGATCGTGTATTGGCGATTCCATTACATTCTTTTATGTTCGAGGGTATGTTCAAGAGGGAAAAATCAAATATTCATGACCTTGATCTTGTCTTTTAACCTTTCCTTAGATATTATTAAACCACTCCACTTTTTATGATTTTCTTAATGTTTGCGTGATCAGGCAGGGGTGATGAACCTCCTTGGCAGAGGCAATAAAAAGCCTACGTACGTTATAATACCTGATAGTCTACAGATACGTTTTGCTAAATTTCATCCCTTTACAAGTATTCCCTATTGTAATTGGACTCAGTTAAAATGATTGCTTTTTTCAAATGCCATGGTCCTGGTTTCCGTCAATTAATTATTCTTCCTCACTGTCCTGACCAAAAACCACTAGAGCCTACAATTTCCCAAATCATAAAGGTAAAAATGGAGTCATAATGAGCCTGATTGGATTTTCGACAAGAACTGCAACAATCAATCAACGGAGAAACAACTAAGTAAACTCTATCTTTTCTAACTTGTTTTGAAATTTTATATTTTTATTTATATCCTTATATATACTTATTAGATTCGCTACATGACGCTTGGTAGATCTAAGTTTTCTCGGTGTGCTTAAAATCATTCGCTGAAGGCTACAACTGTAGCAGCTGATATCCTATCACAATGACTGAAAATATGAAGAAATGCGATATACCAGGAAAAATTTGTATTACTGGTTGCTCAAAAAAAGGAAAAACTCAAGGAGACTCGATTAGATGTTGCATATGTGGCCACTGGTATCATATAAAATGCCTCAAACTAAGTGATGAAGAGATATCTGGTGTATGGCCATGTTACATCTGCCGGTCGATGCCTTCAGATATAACTTGACTCCTTGATGTTGTAAGTACATTATCTAAAACAAATGAATTTCAACTAGAGAAAATGGCCAAATTAGAAGCCAAGATTGATAGTCTTGCGCAAAAAAATTGAAGAACTGCAAAATGATAATAAAAATGAGTATTGTACAACTGAGAAGGAAACAATAGAAGAAACGCAATTAAAAACGAAAATACTGATTGGGGATTCTCTTATAAAGAGCGCGTCTTCTACAAATAATCTAATGAAAGTTCAATCTATAGGTGGGGCTGGTGTTGCACAGATAGGGGAATCTATCCAAACGAATAATTTGGTTGATGAACTGAATATCGTTTGTGGAACTAACGATGTAGCATCCGATAAAACTATTATGGAAATCACTGACAAATTTGTTGAGCTGATCGGCAATGCAAAGCAAAAAGAAAATATTGTTAAGATTTCCAGTATACCACCGAGATTGGATGACAAGTGTGACCAAATTAAATAGGAATCTATTAACAACATAATTAGCGCGGTCGCTGAAGAAAATAACATAACTTTTATAAATCATGATGAAAATTTTAGGTATGGAGACAATACCCCTGATAAAAATTTACTATCTTCGGATGGACTGCATCTTTCTGAAGCAGGCGTAAATCGGCTTTTATCCAACTTTCAAATCGATTCCTACACAGAATATCGTGATAATTTTCGGAAGCGTGGGTATTCAGACTACCTTGAACATAGAACCCAACGAGAACAAACAAATCACCATCATCCTAGGAACAGCGACAGAAATACGCACTTCAACAGACGTTATTTTATGCGCCCAGTAAAATGTTTCGGATGTGGTGCATATGGACACACAAGGAATTACTGCCGATGGTCCACAAGGAACTGATTCCCGGGAAGTAGTGTAGATGACGATCTCATCACAGTTATTTCTGATTTCAATATTATTATGCATTAATAATGAAAATGTTCTTAATGGTATTAAAAATGTAAGTGAAGATGAAACTATTGGCAATGGAATTTGTGTGGATGAGAATATTAATTGTGGCGATGATGATGATGATAATGATGCTATTGATGTCGATATTGGTAATAATACTAACGATACCCAAAATGATGAAATTGACGGTATATACGTTAACAATAATGTTGATGGAGATGATGAATATATGGATAATGGTTCTGATGAAGATGATATATTTGAATATAGTGATATTGAGTTTGATGATATTAATTATGACGAATTGGATGAAGAATATGAGTGCAATTATAGGCCTACACTACCTGGATTTACTAATTATACCTCAGCTTATGACAAATGTGCGAATAAGCTAAAACATAGCGATGGTTTTACAGTTGGTCATATTAATGTTAGAAGTCTAATAAATAAGGTTGATGAAATAAGTTTTCTACTTTTAAAAACTAAACTTGATGTATTATGTATCTCTGAAACCTGGTTAAGTGGTGATGTTAGTGATATTCTTGTAAACATAGATGGTTATAATATAATTAGAAGAGATAGGGAAAATAATATTATTAATGGAAAGAAAAATAGAGGTGGTGGAGTATGTTTATATATTAAAGAAGGAATTCCACCCTTTCTAATATGGAAGCTATATGGGTTGAAATCCCTAACAAACATAATGAAAATATGCTTGTGGGATGTTTATATCGTCCCCCTAAGGCTAGAAAGTCTTACGTCACTCTTACTATACAAATGTTAGAGAAGGTTGCAAATGAAAATAAAAAAAATAGTCCTTTTGGGAGATTTCAATATCAACTATGACCTAATATAGACCTGAATTCAAATCCTATAAATCAAATAGAGAATATGTTTGCACTCAGACAACTAATAAATGAACCAACACGTATTACAAAAACCACTGCAACATGTATTGATCTGATTCTTACCTCAATTCCTGATTGCCATATTTACACGGAAGTTGCAAAAATTTCACTTAGTGATCATTGTTTCATTTATATGTGCATTAAAGCACTAAATAACATTGAGGAACATAGAACAATTACATTTAGAAATTTTAAACACTTCAATACAGATTTATTCATAAATGACCTAAGAAACTCAAATATTCTGTCAAATAGTAATAATAATTATAGTGATATTGATGTATACTGGAATGAATGGAGGAATTCCTTCTTAAATATATGTAATAAACATGCTCCTTTAAAGACAATGCGTGTTAAAGATCGTTTCACTCCTTGGATGAGCCCAGATATAATACAACTTATGTATAAAAGAGACCATGAAAAGCATCTTTCTGATAAATATGGGAGTGATATCAATTTGAACAAATATCGTAAACTACGAAACTTAGTAACAAGCAAAATTCGGAAAGCAAAATCAAATTACTTTGATAAGGTTGAAAACAAATACAAAAATAACTAAAAAAAATATGGGAGGAACTAGGCAGAACTATAGAGAAGGATTCAAATAGAAATAGTGTCCACCCTGACCTAAATTGTGAAAGCTTTAATAATTTTTTCTCAAATATTGGAAAGGAAATTTCTAAATCTTTTGAAAGTACTACTACTCCTGAATGGAAACATCTTTATGTATCCACAAATTAAATTTTAACACGGTAACATTTGAAAATATTGAAAATGCCCTTTCAGGTCTGTCCGAAAGCAGTAATTTGGATATTCTGAATTTTGATTCAAAATTGCTTAGGGTTGCCTCCCAATATATTGCAAAATCTCTTTCCTGTATAATAAATTTGTCTATTAGGCTGAGTATTGTTCCTGAGGATTGGAAACTCGCAAAAACAACACCTATCTATAAAGGCAGTGGATGTAAGCAGACGATGACTAACTAGAGACCCATCTCCGTGGTTTGCCATATTTCAAAAATTATTGAAAGAGAAATTCAAAATCAATTAGTTAGTTATCTAAACGAAAATGATCTCATAAGTGTAGATCAATATGCTTTCAGAAAATACCACTCCACCATCACTTGCCTTCATCGAGTTATAGATGAATGGATGGAAACTTTGAATGACCATGAAATGATTGAAGCCTGTTTTCTCGACATATCTAAATGCTTTGACTCCATTGATCATACTCTTCTCCTAACTAAATTAGAAAATTATGGTATTAAAGACACTGAAATAAAATGGTTTAAAAGTTATCTTTCACAGCGTAAACAAGTAGTCAAATGTCATAATAAATTATCTGAAAAAGCAAATGTTGAAATTGGCATCCCACAGGGTAGTGTGTTAGGACCGATCTTATTTTCATTATTTATTAATGACCTTCCACAATATGTATCTCCAGGATCTGTCTCTTATACACATCGGTAGAAAATATCAATATCAAATTACAATCAATAATGAATAATGTCGCAAATTGGTATAAATTTAATAAATTACTTGTAAATTCTACCAAAACCAAACTTATGTTAATTAAAAATAGAAATGTTCGCCTTCTTTCCTCTTTGAATATTCATGTTGGTAATGAAACCATTGATGAGGTAAAAAGCATCCGTTATTTAGGACTTCAAATTGATGAAAACCTTTCTTGGAATGACCATATTCGAAAATTAAATAAAGCTATTGGGTACAAAATTATCATCCTAAATAAATTGACAGAAACACTAAATGAATCTCTTCTAAATATTCTTTATAGAAGTACAATACAACCCTGTATGGACTATGCAATCTCAGTGTGGGGAACAACGTCTAACAAAAACAAAAACATTCTATTAAGGCTACAAAAACGAGCTGCTAGAATAGTTAAAAATAATTTTGATTTTATAAATTTTCGTGGAATTGATCTTATTAAGCAAAATAATTGGAAACTTTTTGATGAACGTAGAGATTACGCCCTTGCATGTTTAATGTACAAATGTATAAATGATGTTGCGCCTTCCCGCTTATGTAATGATATAGAAATGGTTGTTGACCGACATGGATATTCTACGAGATAAGCTCACTCGCTTAATGTTATCCCCCCAATTCCAAATTGCTCTGTAATGAATGGCTCTTTAAAAATCTCTGGAGCAAAAGTTTGGAACAAAATCCCAATCAGAATTCAAGAATGTCAATCTCTTAATTTATTCAAAATTACTTATAAGAAACACTTTTTCTGATTTCACAATTCATTTCCTTTTATATTTTCTTGGTCTATACTTTTAACATTTATTCCCGGCCCCGAAACTTGGACTCAGAAGTACCGGGATGGTGTCCGGCGGGGGATAGTTTTTACCATTGTTTAGTTAGGCTTGTAGTTAAGATAAAAGTTGTGACAGCCCCGAAACCTTGACTCAGAAATACCGGGATGGTGTCCGGCGGGGGATAGTTTCTACCATTTTTATCTATTTAAGTAATTATACAGTATTTGTCCTACCTGGTAA